ATGACAAAACTGATGTGTCTTTTAAAAAAAGGTCACTTTGCCTGGAGAGTAACATGCTAAGTGAAATAAGTCAGTCAGAGAAAGACAAGTATCACATGATCTCACTCATATATGGAATCTAATTAACAAACTGATAAACAGAGTGGATCCAGAGACATGGAAGCATGGAACAGAGTGCTGCATCTCAGAGGGAAGGCAGGGGAGGATGGGTGGGTGGGAGGTAATCAAACAAAGTCCTTGTATGCATAATGCATAACCCATGGACACAGACAGTGGGGTGGTGAGGCGGGAGGGGGAGGCCTGAAGGGAGTCGATAGGGAAAATAAGGGAACATATGTAGTACTTTCAACAATAAAAAATTTTTAAAAATAAAAAAGGTCACTCTGGCAGAAATGTGGCAGATGAATTATACTGGAGCAGTGTACAAAATTACAAAGCAGTAGGATGTACTGGTTAAGAACCTGGGCTTGGGAGCTAGACTGTCTGGGTTGAATACAGGTTAACACTAGTTGTGTGACCTTGAATAAACTGCTTTGTGCCTCAATTTCATCATCTGCAAATAGGAATAGGAATAATTCTTGCCACAGAGGGTTGTAGTGAGAATTAAGAGAATAATTAATTAGAATAATAAGAATAATTCCTGGCACAAAGTACTCCATAAATAATTACTATTAATTGCATTAAAAAAAAAACTGGTCATAGGGAGATTAGTTAGAAGGTCAGAAAATAGTCCAGGAAAACAGAGGTGAAAACAAAGAGGGGTGTGTTCACTTGAGGTACCTGAAATGGTGATAATACCACTAGCAAACCAGGGAAAAGGAAAGGAAAACTAGGCCAATGAGTGTTGCTCTTGCCATGTTAGGGTTGAGGTTCCCACACATCATGAAAGTGTAAGTGTCCACTGATGATTGGAAAAAAAAAACAGATCAGAAATAAAAAAAAAAAAAAAAGAGATATAGATCTGAGAGTCATTAACATGTGGACGAGTTTGTGGAAGCTGTGGTAATGGAAGAGAGTACTCAGGCAGAAAGCAATGTGAAAGAGTCCTAGGACCCACAGGAACTAGGCCTCTAGGATCACAACAGGACCCACGGGAACGCCAACAAGACCAAGAACCCGGTAAGATAGAGAGAAGAAATATAACCATATGAAATAATCCTGTCCTTTATGAAGTTTTCAATGTCGTTAGGAAGAAAAAGACATACACATGCGAAACCATTTTTATCGTGACTGTTTAGGATTAGTAGCACAGGTGGTAGGCACTAGAAGGGCAAGGAAGGAAAATTGTGCTAAATATTGGAAAAGCCAGTGATGACACAAAAAAGAACACTGGCATAAGATGGGGAAGTAAAGAGGAAAGTGAAAACTTTTATTTATTAAATGACTACTATATGCAAGTAACTATAGTAGGATGTTTCCAGCATTTCACCTAATTGTATTCTCATAATATTCCTCTGAGACAAACCCTATCCCTATTTTACAGGAGCAGTTTGCAACAGACCAAATGGACTCGCCCAAAATCTTGCATCCAGTTATGGGCATATGGCAGTTTTACAACTGGAATCTCAGTGGAGGGCCCATGACCTCCACACCATACTTCCACTTATTAAACTGCCTAATGTAGGACAAGTCAAAAGGGGAAGGGAAAAAAAATAAGAACTATACCAGAAGAAAACCAGAATTATGCCTACATATCTCACTTCAATAGAACTACCTTTTTGAGGACATGTGAAAGAAAGAAAAAAATGAGTTTTTAAACATCAAAAATCATCTTTCAATCACAGAGAACAGGTAGGGTTACAGATACCTCCTTGCTATCAGTCTCTTCCCTCAGGTCTTGTCCATACTGTTACCATAGTTAGAATTCTAAATTGCACACCTGACCATGTCCTTCCTCCTCTCTTTAGCATCTTTCAATAACTCCCTAAAAGAGAAAAAAATATTAACAGAACCAACAGGAAAAGGCTATCTAATACATCTAGAAACCCCTTAACCTAGAAGGAATAATAGAAAAAAGTTAACTCCTAAAAATAAATGCCCTATTTTTAATCTTTAACCCTATTTTTCTCACCTCAGCATTGTAAAATAAACTTCAAATGCCAGTTAAAGAGCAACATCGACACCTTGTGGTAAAGATCAAATGGCTCTTAATTAAATGTCTGCTTACATCAGTGGTTCTCAACCTGTGGGTCACGACCCCTTTGGCGGTCGAACGACCCTTTCACAGGGGTCGCCTAAGACCATCCTGCATATCAAATATTTATATTATGATTCATAACAGTTGCAACATTACAGTTATGAAGTAGCAACGAAAATAATTTTATGGTTGGGTCACAACATGAGGAACTGTATTTAAAGGGCCAGAAGGTTGAGAACCACTGGCTTACACGAAAACTAACTCTTAATCCAGGAATTTCCAAGGGTTAAAGAAGCAAAAATTTAATTACCATTGCACACACTAAAGGTAAATTTAGAAAAAGTTTCTATTATTTTGACAACTAAAAATAGCCTAAATTCTTCACTATAGGTGAAAAAAATCTGAGTAAAACTTCAGGTTATTGTTTTCCTAAAAAATGGTACATCACATCCATCTCAAGGAGTTTTAACCCTGGTCCTTGGTGCTTCCAAATCCTTGTCTTAGTCAAGATTTCCTGCTTTCCTGAGACAGTCACACATAACAACACAGTGAAAGTTATTAGTTAGAATACACTCTTGAAAAACAGAACCAGGAGACCTGGATTCGGATCCTGACTCCAAAAGACACTGAGAATCTTGTGGAGTTAAAAGTGATATTAAAAAATTCTGACTGTGTGTTTTCACATAAAATGACAGATCAAGAAGTAACAATTTCACAAACCAAGAAAGCATCAGGAAAAGAGAAGATATATTTCTTAAATTATTCTCATCCAGGAACAATGTTGCCTGAGTTAAATAAAGAAGGCAAACTATGAACAAAACTGATGGACACAAAATTGTTTTCCAAGCACTTTTGATTGAGCAGAGAGATGATGGTTACTTTTTTTCTAATGTCTTGAGAGAATGTTCAGAGAAAGCTGCATTTCCCTGGGAATGTGCTACCAGCTATAAATGATTTAACACAATGGTAAAGACAGGGCCACTGTTAATAAGGCAATTCAAACTGCTAACCCACCTGAGGACTCTGAAAGATACCCTAGAAATGAAACCCCCAAGAGACATATCATTGCAAGATCAGTGTTAACTAACTGAGCCACTACCAATGTTCACCTCATAACCACCAGCCTACAAAGGTAAGTGAGACTTAGAAAAGGATCTACAAAACATGCTTGACAGAAAACCTTCATACTGACCTCCAGCCTGGCTCTTTCCTACTGTGTGCCCTCAGGTAAATAAATCATTTAACACCTCTTGACTTCAGCTTCTACACTGGTGTGTGAACATAAAAAGTTTCTAAGAGAATGAGATCATAAATGTGAAAATGCTTGTAAATTACACTTCACTGCTTCCAACTTCTAGAAGAATCACAGAGGTTAAACGAATTGGATAAATCAAGGATAACTCAAGTCAGGGTCAGGTTGATGGAAGCATTCTCTATTACACCATGCTGCTTCCCAAGATGCTACAGTCTGTCTGATCAGTTTCCATTCTTCTGTATCATGAAGGAGCTTTTGATGCTCCTTGAATCTGATTCTCTTAGTTTATGATGCTGCCTTTCCCAAATCCTCCTTCTCACTGACTTTGCATTCCTTTCTCTTTTAATCTACTGATTTCTCTAATAAGGTCACAGAATCTCATACTTGGAAGATATCTTTAAAATAATATCTATACTCTCATTTTACTTAAGAAAACAGGTCAAGAAATATTAGTTGCTTACTCACATTTCAAATTATTTCTGTACAGTCTTCTTTCCAATACTTAAAACTTAATGTAGTCCCAAACTGTATAGGCTCAAAAATATGAGTTACATATTTTGACACCTCCTGCTTTCTCTACTATCTGGTTACTAAATCCTATTCATTCTGTTATTTAGCCTAAGAATTCAAAGTGAAAGTACTTCTCAGATGAGAATCAAAAGTCATCAAATGTGTGTGGTTACTTTAGTTGAAATCATTGTCTCTTAAGAGCAATTTATACAGTCCATGTGACCAAACTCTCTATCATCATGGATAATAAAATTCAAGATTTGCAAAGGAAAGGCCCATTTCATAATGTTTATAAAATAAATAATCGTCCAATGGGACAAGAGTCCAATAATCCTTCTGGACTCTTCCTCTAGTAGATATATAAGGGATGTCTAATGGTCTGAAATTTATGATGTGTTATGTAAACATTAGAAAAAGACTTCCAAAATCAAATTTCAATGAACCATCTGTCTGAGGAGGGTGAACACAGGTTGAGTGTCACTGTGAACTTTATTTTGAATTGCATTTATTTTGGTAACCTGCCTCTTAGGAAAATGTCCTAGATGATCTACAACACTGAAAATTAAAAACAAATTTTAAAATCTTTCAAAATTAAGCCAGACATTATAAAAATACAGAGTTGCAGCAGTTAAGCCTCTGAACATGAGATTCGTGCAAAGCTCCTTTGCCCTGCCAAACATGGTTCTTTTAAAAGATGAACAGCAGGTCAAAACTCTAAGCTGTGTCTGGGGCTATAGGAGGGCTTTTCTAGTAATGCTGTAGTTGTTAAAATTCTGATAAGTCTAAATTTTGTACTTCTGCTTGCTGCTCTTTCTAGTGCAAAAGACTAGAAATAGCTCATGCCCCTGTCTTAAGATCACTGGCTTCCAATCACTCTCCCCCACTGTCCAAAGAAAGGAAATGACTTTTCAAAGGTTTTGTGAAGGAGATACACTTAAGTCACTGTAGCTACAAAATTTATGAAGCTCTCACTAAAAAATGCCAAGCCTGAATAACGGCTTCTAAACCTCCCATACATTTCCTCACCCTGAAATGTCACAGACTCAAAATGAGGAAGATTCTTTAGAAAATGCAGGAGGACTCTACGAAGTTTCTTACCGCAGCAAAGAGAAGACATCATAAGAATTGCGAACACAGTTCTGATCCACCTGAAGAAGAATATTCTTCTGAGCATTTGAATAACCCTAAAAGATATTAATTAACAAATTAATCAAAGTGAAACAATATGTGCACAATTAATCATGTTTGTATTTTTAACATTATGATTTATAAACACTTCAGTAAATTCAAATTGTTAAGAGATTCAAAAATTACAACTTCCATATAACTAAAATTTAACATTTTATGCAAGTGAACTCAAAATAAATTTCCTCTAATATTTTTCCACAGAAACAATGTTTCACATTTTGCAGTGAATTTCGCAGAGAAGCCCCAGAAGTCTTTTTTACATATGTGACTGAAGAAGAGTATTAACAATAATATTTCAAGTATACCTAGTCATTGCATGTAATGTTTTTATGGGGGAAAAGGCATTCCAAGTTCCAATTACGAATACCAGAAACAAACATTTCCACTTAGTGGTACAAAGATGGTGGGAGCAAGGATGGTTTCTAGAGAAAACATGGCACAATCCATAAGAATTACAGAACAGGTATTTATCATTTAAGGCAGATAAAGTAAATAGTAGTTAAGAAAAAAGGGCTCTGGACCCAGACCACCTGATTACAACGTAAGCCCTTAATACACCAGCTCTGTAGTCTCTTGAGCAAGGTATCTGCGCATTCTCAGTTTAACCTTGGTTTCTTCTTCTGTACTATGGAGTGATAATATTGCCTACTTCACAAATGGTTGTGGGAATTTAAAAAGTTAATATTTGAAAAGTAAAATATATGTAATAAGCACTATATAAATGTTTGTTATAATACTATTATAAGCATTTTTAAAGTTATGTTGCTACAGACATTAAAATACTACTAATCCATGCTACCTCAAAAAAAGGTTATTAGAATATTATGAACAACTTTATGCTACTGAATTTGACAACTTAGATGAATTAGACAAACTACTTGGAAAAATACGAAATGTCAAAATTGATCATGAAACAGTAACTGAGTAACCCTATATCTTTTTTTAAGTGAATATTTTAAAAAGCTGCCCACAAAAATGTTTAGGTTCATATGGTTTCACTGATGAATTCTACCAAGCATTAAGAAATAACATTAATGAACACAAACTCATTCATAAAATAGAGGAAAAGGGAACAATTTTCAACTCATAAGACTAGCATTACTGATGCTAAAACTTGACAAAGACTCTCTCTCTCTCTCTTTCTCTCTCTCTCTCTCTCTCACACACACACACACACACACACACACACACACACACACAATTACAGACCAATATCCCTCATGAACACAGACACAAAAATCCTTGGCAAAATATTAATAAATTAAACTAGCAAGCCCTAACCAGTTTGGCTCAATGGATAGAGTGTCGGCCTGTGGACTGGAAGGTCCCAGGTTTGATTTCGGTCAAGGGCATGTACCTTGGTTGGGGGCACATCCCCGGTAGGAGGTGTGCAGGAGGCAGCTGATCGACGTTTCTCTCTCATTGATGTTTCTAACTATCTCTCTCCCTTCCTCTCTGTAAGAAATCAATAAAATATATTTTAAAAAAATAAAAATTAAAGATAAACTAGCAATATATTATAAGAATAAAATAATAACACACATCATTATTGACTTAATTTATTCTAAAAATGTAAAGTTGGTTTAGCATTTAAAAATCAATCAATTAGATAACATATGAAACAATAATTACAGAACTATCTTGATGATCACACAATTATAAAGATGTAATTTGTGCCCTAGCCAGTTTGGCTCAGTGGCTAGAACAGTGGTTCTCAACCTTCCTAAGTGCCACGACCCTTTAATACAGTTCTTCATGTTGTGGTGACCCCCAACCATAAAATTATTTTCGTTGCTACTTCATAACTGTAATTTTGCTGCTGTTATGAATCATAAGGTAAATATCTGATATGCAGGATGTATTTTCATTGTTACAAACTGAACATAATTAAAGCATAGTGATTAATCACAAAAACAATATGTAATTATATATGTGTTTTCCGATGGTCTTAGGTGACCCCTGTGAAAGGGTCGTTCGACCCCCAAAAGGGTCGCGACCCACAGGTTGAGAACCGCTGGGCTAGAACATCAGCCTGTGGACAAAAGTGTACTAGGTTCTATTTTGCTCAAGGGCACATGCCTGGGTTGCGGGCTCAATCCCCAGGAGAGGATGTGCAGGAAGCAGCCAATCAATGATTCTCTCTCATCATTGATGTTTCTCTCTCTCCCTCCCTCTCCCTTCCTTTCTGAGATCAATAAAAATATAATAAAAGTAATAAATAAGATGTTGCTTGTGACAATAGTAACACAAAGGGGAACGGAGCTCTCTTAAAATTATGATATGCTGGAATTGGTCTATGGCAATATATAAGAAAAGTTTTTATACAATAGTAAAACTAAATTGATATTAATTTGAATTAGATTGTTGTAAATTAATATGTTAATTGTAATCCCCAGGGTAACCACTAAGAAAATAACTAAAAGATACATAGTAAAATAAATGAGAAAAGAATCAAAATGTTACATGAGAAAGTAGATAACACCAAAAAAGGTAGTAATGAAGGAAATACGAAACAAAAATGATATAAGAAAGCAAATAGAAAAATGGCAGAACTTCCATATCTGTAATTACATTAAATGTAAGTGGACTGAAAGGCAGAGGATGGCAGAAAATATATTTTTAAGCAACCCACTATAGGCTATCTACAAGGGATGCACTTTAGAACCAAAAACACAAATAGATTGAAAATTAAAAAATGGAGCCTGGCCGGTATGGCTCTGAGTGTAATTTATAGCTGCAAACATCTACATCAAAAAAAAAAAAAATAGAGCTCAAATCAATAATCTTCTACCTTAAGAAACTAGAAAAAGAATAAACTAAACCCAAAACAAGAAAGAAGGAAATAATAAAAATTAGAGCAGAGATCCATGGAATAGAAAATACAAAAACAACAAAGAAAAAAAATCAACAAAACCAAGTTAGTTCTTTGAAAAGATCAACAGAACTGACAAACCTTAAGCTAGACTGAGCAAGAAAAAAAGAGAGAAGACTCAAATCACTAAAATCAGAGTGAAAATGAGAACATTATCACCAACCTTACAGAAATAAAAAGTATTACAGAAGAACACTATGAACAATTGCATGCCAACAAATCAGATAACCTAGATAAATGGAAACAACTCGAAACACAAAAATAACTCAAGAAAAAACAGAAAATCTGAAAAGACCTACAAATTGTCTAAAAGTTTAGCTAAGCTACTCCACGGTATTGCTGCCTTGAGCAAGCAGCCCGCAAGGACCTTAAACTGACACTAGCCCCTCAGGGAAGCGCACACCTGGATGGCAGCTCAGAGTCAGAAGCCAATGTAAGTTCCTGATCTGACTTGTGATCAAGCAGTCGTCTCCCCTGCTACCAGCACCTGTATGCCTTTATGCACACACTAGAAAAAAAAACCAATGGAGGTGAGGGCATGAGTAGGGGGGTGGAGAGGCAATGAGGGAATAAGGGACACATATGTAATACCTTAATCAATAAAGAAAAGAAAATTAAATAAAAAACAAACAAACATGGAGACTACCAAAACTCTGCTCCTTTGGTTTAAATTAACCAGCTCAGCCCTAGCCCAGGAAGCCCAAAGCACTCCACCCATGGATTCTAATACAGGCATGTACCAAGGTGCTGCCTCTGTCTCCTGCCCCTAGGTGGCTCTTTGAGGCATGTCCTGTAATTCCTCTAGAACCTGTGAGTAAATAACTTCTCTATTTCAGTTTCTCTTATGATCTGTGGTTAAATCATAGCTCACCATCTGGCCCCCTATGCTCCACTTAACAAATGTTAATTTAACAAAGTCAGAATACAAGTAAAAAGGTTGAATCAGTAATCATAAAAATCCCAGGAAAGAAAAGCCCAGAACCACATGAATTGACTGGTGAATTCTACCAATCATTTTTTTTTTTAAATAATAACACTAATCCTTCTCAAAGTCTATCCAAAAATGGAAGAGGAAGAAATATTTCTTAACTCATTTTATGAGACAAGTATTACTCTGATAACAAAGCCAGATAATATCACAAGAAAATTAGAGACCAATATCCCTTATGTATACAAATGTAAAAATCTTCAACAAAATATTAGCAAAATTAATCCAGTAGAATATTAAAAAAGGTGTATGCCATTTGGTCCAGCAATTCTACTTCTGGACATATATCCAGAAGAATTACAAGACTCAAAGACAGATTTTTTACATCCATGTTCAATAATAGCCTTATTCACAACAGTCAAGTGGTAGAAGAAACCTAAGGTTCATCAACAGATGAATCAACAAACAAAATGTGTAGCATATATTCATACAATGGAATATTATTTAGCCTTATAAAGTTAGGAAATTCTGATGTGTGCTATAATATGGATGACATTATCTTACATAATAAAAGGCTAATATACCAATAGACCGAATGGTGGAACAACCGAACAACCGGTCACTATGACGTGCGCTGACCATCAGGGGGCGTGCACAGAACATGGAACATGGTGGGTGTCGGCCACAGCAGGATGCTGGAGGAGGTGAGCGGGGGCGCCAGACCAAGTCGGGGTGCCAGTCACTGTCTCCAGGGCAAGCCTCTGGTGGTTACTAAAAATTCTTTGCTCCTGCGCACTGTGGTCCTGCCCGGTGCTTGCACCTGCTGCCGGCACCGGCCCCGCTGACACCCGCAGCTGGCGCTAAAGCCATTGCTTACACCCACTGCCAGCACCCGGCACCAGTCCTGATCGCTTGGCGCCATCAGTGGGTGCGAGCAGCGGCTACTGCCCCGATCGCCCCTGAGGGCTTCTCCACCTCCCCCTGCTCCTGAGGGGCGATCGGGGCAGCAGCTGCCACTCACACCCACTGACGGCTCCGGCCCTGCTCCAACCTGCTGCTGGCACTGGCCCCAATTGCTCCACGCCATCAGCGGGTGCAAGCAGGGCCGGTGGCGTCAGCCCATGGGACTGGCAACGGCAGGAACGGGGCTGTTGGCAGACAGGGAACCAGGGGCCATGGCGGGAGGGACTGGGCGG